AGGGAGTGGTTACCCCTTAGGATGCAGAGAGTTAGTTGGTATACAACAGGAGGACTCGCTGAGGAGTCTCCTGGATCTATTTGGGTATATATACTACTACAGGGTTATTTGTACGTGTGTACTATACAGTTGATAGAGACAGTGGCTGATGATGTCATGGGGCTTAGCCCGCATGGCCAGCTCCACTGTGTGAGAGAGTTGTGTCCAAAATAAGAAGAAAGGCAATGCGGCGCGAGAAAGAGGAGTTTGGACAAAAGGGGAAGTGCTGTGTGGCACCATGTGTGAAAGCTAAAGTACAAGGTTAAAGCGGAGAATAAAAATAAAGGGAAGGTCCGAGATTGTGTTATCGTAACACCATAGATCAGAACTCCTTGCAAATGCTCCAGGGGAAGATATTGTGCAACACAAGATGCATATTGAAGGGTGCCAAGTGTCATACCTCTCAATTGTAGGCTCCCTTATGTATGCCATGCTCGGAACCCGCCCAGACATTGCCTACGTTGTTGGAATACTAAGCAGGCATAGCTCAGCTCCAAGGAGCCATCACTGGGAAGCTGCAAAATGTGTCCTCCAATATCTGAAAGCAACCAGGGACATGGAACTACCATATGATGGCACAGATGTCTCCATGGACATGGATTTCTATGGATATTCAGATGCAGATTGGTCTGGAGACCCAGACACATCTCGATCAACATCAGGCTTTGTTTTTATCACCATCCGAGGAGCAATCTCCTGGACAAGCAAAAGACAAAGCATGGTAGCTTTATCCTCCACGGAGTCAGAGTACATTGGATTGAGCAATGCTGGACAACACCTTGCATGGCTTCGGACATTTTTTGAAGAAATTGGACATGCTCAAAATGGACCTACAACATTGCACTGTGACAATCAAGCAGCTATTATTCTTACATGAGATCCACAGTTCCGTGCTCACACAAAACACATTCAATGGAAATATCATTTTATCCGAGATGACTTAGTATCAAAGGGAGAGGCAGTAATCAGATATGTTCCTACAGGAGATATGGTTGCCGACATTTTCACTAAACCCCTCACTCACAAAAAACACTGGAAATTCTCTAAAGCTATGGGACTACGGTTGCACTCGAGTGGGAGTGACAAAACCGGATAAACCCGGTCTCTGCCGAAGCAGCCATTGTTCTCCTAGGAGTTATTATACTATAGCGAGTAGCACCTCCGGCTATAAGTAGTAGGGGGTTTAGTATAAAAATACCTCAGTCGTTTCTATAGCCTCTTGGGCAGCGGCTGAGGTATGTTACATTACATTTATTAGAGACCACCTTAAACCAACATCCATTGTAGTTTCACATAGTTTTATTAGCTGTCACAGCCATATGTGAGGCAACAATAAACTATAACAAAAACAATACCCGTCTCCAACTGCACTTGCAGGGAGTAAGAGGTACAGTGAGTCTTGAAAATCGACAGTATGGGAGTAGACTCAGGGATTTCTGATGAGGAGTAAAGCAAATAATTCAAGTAATAGAAAGCTAAGGACTATACATGAATAGGTAAGGCTTTATATAGCTAACTGTCTATCCCTCAGACCAAAAGAGGAATAAAAGGAAAGTGGTCTGAGGGGAAAATCAACCAATAAGAAAAAGGGACACCTATTGTACGACTTTGAAGATTAATCAGCAGGCGAGAAAGTGTACTAATAATAAGTATTGTCACACATGTCCAAGAACCGTAACCTCATGATGAGGTACAATCCTGGCTAAAGCATTTATTAGTATCTCCAGGCACTGATGGGGCTTGGAGCTGGTTGGTGAGATGCTTACCACCAGTCCTTACCCATTGTGCTGGCTGGCCGGGAGCAATGCCCAGTTTCTGATCTGTGATACAAAGTGGTAACAATGATTAAGAAAGCCTGTGAGGGCTATGAGAAGCAGGATAGCAAAAGATACCTCTAGCCATAGAGCCAGAGGTGTAACAGGAAAAGTGTTCGAGAACCAAGACATGGAGTGAGAAGATAAGAAAATAATAAATGGACCTTACACCATATCCTTGATCGGAATGGTTTGGCTCATTCCATAAAGGAGTAGTCATGCAATATTAGACCCACAATTGTTTACCTTTTCACTCCCAGTTTTGGCCCAGAGCATAGCCATAGTAGGCTTCCATTCAGAGCTGTGCTTTTGGTATGTTGCACTGAGTGATTTCGGCGAATGCTCATAGTGTCAACTGATAAGGTTAGACTCTGATGGAGTACCATGCTGGTGGCCGGCACCATAAGATTACTCACACTCCATTTTAGTCTTCCTGCATATAATTAGCTTCAGTCTCTATTTTTTAGTCTCAAACCAGACAGTTTTAGCTAGTTCAGTCAACATCTCCAGCAGGATTTTACCCTGGCTAGCTGCTGTGCCAAACTGGACCAAAGTAACTGAGTCTGAAATTTATTCATATTGTTTAACATATTATTTGCGATAAAGATATTACCAGATTATCAGGCTATAATATACTATAGTACCACTGCAATAGACATCAACTCACCCAACAATGAGAGGAAAATGCTAATACAACACATCTTACAGCTTGCACAGCTACTATTTGACATGCAGGAAGAGCTCAATACTTTTACCACTATCATTGCTCAGTCTCTCGGCCTCCTGTCTGTTGCACTTGTCTCAAGTTCCATCAATAGACAATGTTACCAGACATTGGTGCTCACTGGTGAAGGATGGATGTGTGAGTTGGTGGAGGGTCACCTGGTTTGTATTCACTGCAAGTTGGTGGTTAGTAAAGATGTTTTCAAACAGCTAGTAAAAGTTCTATACAACGTGGGCCATCAAAGCTCAAAGTATATATTGATTGAAGAAAAACTCTTTCTGTATATATCTGTTACAGAATTATCCATGTAACATATTGGCAAACAATTCCAGCATTCCAACAAGACAATCTCAAAGTAAGTGCTATTGTTTATTTTTTGAACATTTGCTAACTATTTCTAGATATTTCAAAAGAAGTTTTATTTGCATTTTTGTCACCTCTGATTTACACAACATATGTTCATCTTCCCTATGCATCAGATGCAACACTCATCAAAATCAGAGACAACCCCAAGCTTTTCCCATACTTCAAAGATGTGCTCGATGCCATTGATGGCACACACATACCTTGTGTCCCATCCGCTGCCGGATGAACTGCCACTTGCAATCAAAAGGGAGGCCTCTCCCAAAATTGTCTTGCATGCTGCACATTTGACATCTGTTTCACCTACATCATAACTGGCTGGGAGGGATCTGCGGCAGACACTCCAATATTTGATAGTGTATGAAGGCAAGATTTGCATATTCCCCCTGGCAAGTACTACCTTGCTGATGCGGGGTTTGGACTTAGCAAATAAATGCTCATTCCCTACCGGAGGGAGCACTATCACCTTACCAAGTGGGGTCATGCAGCTCTCAGGTGTGTTCTCATTTTGATCTGCTTATATTCTGTTCTAACGGGACTACAGGCCAAGGAACCCATGGGAACTCTTCAACCTCTGTCATGTGCAGGCCCAAAATTGCATTGAGCAAATATCTGGTGTCCTGGAGTGGCAGTTTCACATTCTCATATGTCCTGCTGAATTTTTGATGGAAATCCAAGCAAGGATACCCGCTGCACACTACATGGTCCATAACTTCATATGTCTACACAATCCAAACAACATCAACAACTATCTAGATGAAGACAATGAAAAGCCTGCCAATGCTGATTACGGGGCTCTTGCATCAGCACCAACCAGTTCCCAAGGATGTGAGGAAGTGAATAGCTTGTGCAACAGTATTGCAAGGAAGGTGTGGGAAGAATATCAGCGAGTTCTAGGTGTGAGGGCTGGTGTTACAATTGACGTACCAGTACCTACTTACACTTTACTTTTTTCGTACTTTTACTTTTATTTTTCCAAGTCACATGACCAGTCATGTGACCATTTATTTTCATTGGTGGACCTTTCCTTTAAATTTCATTCTCCGCTTTAACCTTGTACTGTAGTTTTCACACTGTGCCATGTGGCACTTCCCCTTTTAGTTCAAACTCCACCTTTCTAGTGCGGTGCTGCCTTTATTCTTATTTTAGCTACAAGTATCTCACACAGTGGAGCTGGTCACATGGGCTAGGCCCCATGACATCAGCAGCCACTGCCTCTAGCAAACTGTACAGTACATATGTACAAACAAACCTGTATTAGTATATAAACCCCAATAGATCGTGGGGAAGGACTCAGTGAGTCCTCCTGTTGTCTAGCACAACTAACTCACTGCAGCCTAAGGGGTAACCACTCCCCAACATCTTCTTTATAGTGTGTTCCTGTGTGCACCGGAGTAAATAACTCTTGGTTGTTACAGCTGGTAATGTGTAGCTTTTAACTTGTACAATTCTGATCTCAAGCGATATCAAAAACCTAGTCACAAAATAGTCACACTAAGTTACAAAACAGCCTTTGTTGTACTTGCTGTTATGTGATTGTTATGTGATTATTTTGTGACCAAGTTTCTCAGTATCAGCAAGCTAACAGATGTCACGGACTCAAAGTTAAAACTTAAAATACTAGTAATTAACCCATCAATATAACAAAGGCTGGTTTGTGGCTAGGGTTTTAAGTATTAGCAAGCTAACAAATGTCACTAACTTAAAGTTAAAACTCAAAAAAACTAAATTAAACTAGCATCAAACTACACGTCCAGATGATCTATTGTAGTCCACGCAGAGTGCTGAACACGGTAATCCTTCAGTATTTTTCAGGTCTATCTGTGGTCCGAAGTATGGTCAGACTATGGAAGGAGCCCTGTGGGCTGCCTTTGAACCGAGTTCACGGTCAGACTATGAGCTAGCCCATTGTCTACTCGAAAAATCTAAATTTATCCGCTACAATTCACCATAAGAAATGACACAAAAACAAGTGCAAAAAAATTAAATTCCACTATCAAGTAAGGTACAACAAGTTTGATAAAAGAATATATAAGAAGAGGGAGTGTTTGAATCAGTGATTAAAAGTGACAAAACAATGCATCAAGACCAACAGGTTCATTCACAGGGGTCTTGCTGCGTTGGTGTGTGGCATTATCAAAACCATTGCAACCGCTGCCAATGTCATCGTCTCCACAACGGGCCTTGTCAAGGTTGATGAGATTTTCAATGTACCTTGGGTCATCAAAGAATTAGTACAGTAACCCAAGCACATAATGTAACAATCAACCTTTGATATCCATCCTGGTTATTGGTGAACTCAGTTTTCTTCCTTTGGAGATGTGCTTCAAGAGACTTCCAGAATGTCAGTTTGCCAGTGTTGGATGCAGTATTGCTGTGACTTTTCCCTCTTGAAGATGAAGGCCTGGGAGTAACAGACCTTGACGGTGGATGACTATCGTTGTCATCCCCATTTTCCTCTGCATCTGGTTGACCGAGAATGTCCAAGTTTGAAAATGCAAAATCACGCTGTACAATCATCAAATTAGCCAGTCAAAATAAATTATATTTGGGACACTTACTATTTGTATGTGCATAGCTAAAAGCATTGGTGGAATGGGATATTCCACCGCTTTTGTGCTATATTTCTCCATCCACCCCACTACATGATTTTTGAGGCTTGTCTTGACTGATCCGGTCACCGCAGCATGTATCTAGAAATTTTCAGTGAGATATTATTATTCAAAAGGGGAAAAAAAACTGACAAAGTGTCATGCTGATTCCCGCACTTGATTGCACTGAGTACAAATAGCACTTTCAATTTGCTTCTTTTGTGCCTTGTTTTTCCACTGTTCAGTAATGTCTAGTTCAGTCAGTTGTTTGCTGACAGCTTTCTGCTCACTTGTAATGAATACAGTAAAATGACGGGGCCAAAAAAAAAAACATTACCATGACATCTTGGAACTATTAAGAACAAAGCTTGAAGGAAGTGTCTAGCCACTTGCTGAGAGCAATCAGGGACTGGAACTAGAGTCCAATGTGAGTAACTTTATTATTAGAGAGTATGACAGGTATACAGTACCTAGAGTCCAATGTGAGTAACTAGAGAATAGGAAGCATTGGACTCTGCAGTACTGTCCGAAGTTTTGTAAACAAAGGTAAACAAAGCAGCCACAAAGGCAAAATAATAGAGAACACAATCAATAGTGAATGATAGAAGAATAGATAGAGAAAGGAATGAAAATATATAGGTAGCACAAAGGTGCAGAATCACCAAAACTAACAGGAACATGTTGACAAAATTAGTACGGTTGACTTCAGTCATCAGTTCACAGACTTTAGTGTTAAACTAAGCCTGTGAAGAAGCATTAGACAAGTTTTGAGTCTGATAGAAATAACATACATGGAGATCTTCAGAGACAGTCCAATTGGTTTTGGCAAGGGACCTGAGTGCAGTTATTTCCTTACTGAATGACTCAAGTGTTTTGGCATTGTTCTCGAGAATTTGCAGGACATGACTTTCACAAGCAAAAGAGACCATGCTGGCCCATTGCTGTGGTGCGCTGAGTTGAGAAGCAACCTAGTTTATCATAATCAGAAGTGCTACAACCATTGAAACCAGTACAAACCTTGAAATATGCCTGTAAGTCTTGTGTGCGCTCATCATCTAAATGATAACGCTCAGCCAGCATTGCAACAGCAGGAGCTGACATTGCACCACTTTGGGCTGACTGTACAGGCTGCTGAGGCCTAGGAATAAATGCAGGCGCTGGACTGTTACCGTCACTAAACTCATCTTCATCTATCCATATGCGTTTTTGTCTCAGGTCAGATGTGTTATAGGCCTGCACATCAAAATGACGGCCTTTAAGCTTGGTCTTGATGCCTTGGAGACATATTTTGACAACCTGGTGTGACCTGCATGTAGTTGATATGGACATTGCCCGAGCTATGATTAATAGTATGACCACTAATAGATGATTGACTCGGAGGCTGAGGTAGAAAACCCTGCTGATTCCTACCGTGTTGAACCTGATTTGAGCCTTGAGGGTGAGATGCTGAGAGTCAATTCTGCATTGGAGTATAAGGACTCATCAGTCTGCTGACGTCCATATCACTGCAGCAAGGATCTGGGAATGATACAAATTGATGTGGCAAAGAGTTTTGACGCACTGCTCAGGCCATCTGGCTGGTCACGTGGTTTAAGGTGGTGAAAAAATGTGAAGTCCAATTAGATAGAATAGAATCAAGCCATAAGCTACAATACTTCTCCCTCAAGCTCCATTTCACAAGTTATTTGCACAATTTTGTCACCGTTGAGAGGTGGTGGAGATGTAGCAAAGTATTGAATATGTTTTGCATCTCGCATTTTTGCAGTGTTGAGGACAAGCAGGTCAGTTTGGAAGTGCCGTACAGCAGGCTCATTTTCTGCTTGACGCTCTCTTTCAAGGTAGACAACTCGGGTACCTGAAAGATCACACTTGCCAGCAGCACAATTGTGTTGCACGTTCACACTGCACAATAAACCTGTAAACCAAATATAAGTAGTTTATCTTTAAATGAAGCATTGTCGACAAAATACCTTTGGTTCAATTAAGATGCAGTGCTCTGTTGCATGAATTGAAGGCATCTAGTAGGGGAGAGCAATTTCACCAACTCGATAAGTCCGACAGCACCCAGAAGGCAGCAACAATAAGCATGAGAGTCGTCACAGTGAGAAGTTGGAGGTACAGGCCCGTGGGAACTCGTTTGATGGAAATACTATGGTCCTAGACATCAGTCAAACCATCAACAAAGCGATACAAACATACCACAGGCACAGACCCCGGTCCGCACAAAAGGCTCCTTTTAAAGGCAGACCAAAGTTGACCTATACATAGACTTTCAAGTCGCATCGTGGGCAAATCAAAAGTTCCCGTGCCCATAGTTTGCCTGCGGGCGTTCATCTGGCAGTGTAGCACATTTTTTATACAAATAATTAACAATTGTGTAGTAAAGTTGTTTACAAATATGAATGTTTAAACACTAAAACAATAACAGCTTGGCTAAATAAAAACTAAGAGTCAACCTTCCGGTTACATATTAGAAGCAAACTGGTCTGCTTGCTACTGTTTTATTCTTGTGGTGTAGGGCTTCAGGTATGATTTTTGACAAATGCACCTTGATCAAAGCACTAATAACAGGCTTGTTGGATAGATTCCAATCAAGACCTTTCTCTTGTAAGTAGGTAAAGCACAATACCTTATCCAATTTCAGGAAGTTGACGGCATTATACTCTTTTTTGAGCTAGACAAAGGTAGGATAGATTATCTCATTTGAAAAAAAATAGGTGTGCTTACCTCCTTCCACTTGTACTGGTACACCATCACATTTTTTGGTGCCCCAACACTTGTTATCTTCTTCAATGCTTCAACAGCCCCGGTCCATACCTGTGGTTTGAAGTTTTCCCCTTCAGCTCCTTCACCCTTCACAGATATTAGGTAGTCGAGCAGCACTATACTGTCAGCTTCTGTCCACTTGCAGTTGACAACTTTCACTTTGTTCTGAATTTCTGCTGGAGCGGTCATTTTTTCCCTCACCATTTTCTTGCTGTAACTTCTAAGGTTGTGAGGCTTTTGTTTGCTTTTGAGTCGGGTTGAAGTCCTGAGAGCCATGAGGGCAATGGACAAATTTTGTTATGTCAATAACGATCAGCTTTAAACTGGGTATCCCCTGCCAGTAAAACAAAAAAAGGGGTGACATTGGCTTAGGGGGTGGGGGGGGGGGGGGGTTCAATTACTGTTAACGGCTTGTGTTGGCCCACTTGGCATATCAGCAAGATATTTTGGCACAGCAGCTAGCCAGGGTAAAATTCTTGACCAAACTAGCTCTTTGGGAAGGTGTGGGACAGCCTGCTGTAAGACTACCCAAAATGTCTGGAGATTTTTGTATTAGGATGAGGGGATCAAGTCACAGTGTTACAAACATTTGGCTTTTTTAGGCAGTTATTGCCATTTTGGAGTATTGTAGTTGTGATATAATTACACTTACATAGTCAAAAATGAAAATTATCAGCAAGTTCCTCAGCATACAGGCCATTGAGAATCTATTTGTTCCATCTTTACAGAGGCCATATCCCACAAAGATATAAAAGAAAGATCAGATGCAACCTTGCAGGTGCAGCAACTTTAGCCAAAAATAAAGACTTACAAAGAACTCTTCAATTAGCTGTTTATCAGCGGTGCAACAGCCAAAAACCTTATCCGTGGCAGTTGGATGTCTCAGAGGCATTTTCCCTAGGCAAGATGCTGCCATATGTCATATCTCCATTGAAAACAATTGAAGACAAGTAAGCTTGCTAATTCTGTATATGAAGTGCCCACTGGCAGTCAGTCACAGTCAATGGACACACATATGGCAAAGGCTTACAAAGGGTAAGTCAATATTTTAATTCTGTTGCTCTGGCTTGGACAGCCTGACAGTGAATAGGAGCTTAAAGACTTCAAATATCAAATACTATTAGCATCACCAGAAATGACCATTGAGAACCCCCAATTCAATGCTTTTCCTTGCTCACCTACATTTTATAAGCATGTATGCAGGTACATTGTGGATGAAGCCCATTGTATTTTGCAGTAGGGGGAGGGACTTCTGGTCTGCCTATGCAAAATTAGATAACTTGTGCTTGTTTGTGCCTCTAGGGATCCCCTTATATGCAACCTCTGCTACTATGTCTCCTGCAGTTTTGGCGGAGGTTTGCAAAACACTACACATTAACACATTACACTTGTTTCATTTTAATTTAGGTAACGACCAACTGTTACAATTGACATACCAGCACCTACTTAGGCTTCACTTTTTGTACTTTTACTTTTTTTTTTCCAAGTCACATGACTGATCATGTGACCATTTACTTTACATTACATTTTGGACTTTTCATAGTTACATGACTAATCATGTGACACATCGCCTGACCAGTGTCTAGACTCATCATGTGACCAGTCACATGCTAGATATCGGACTTTAAACTTTATTTACAACTGCACAATACCTCATATATTTTAGTATATATACTGGAGCAATATATGGGAGAGACTCAGCAAGTCCTCTTCTAGTGTATACAAACATTAGTATGACAAGTTCCCTCCTTTGATAGGTCGTACACTTCCTTTTCCTCCATTGAGTTGTTATGGTTGTGCTCCAGTGCCCCAAGACTGTGTCTTGTTGGTGTTGTCACACTGACCTAATGTGACCAGTGCTAGTGGGAAAAACATACCTTTGCCTGGTACATCAGAGTAAGTTATTTCCTTTCCACCAATATACATTTTTTCACAATCAATATTCTTATAAGAAGGCCAATATTGAGCAAGATTGTCTACAGCAATGACCAGTGTCAAAAATAAAGCAAATATTCAAAAGACTTGTCTTTGCGCCACATGGAATAGTAATTTCCATTTGGTACTTTCCATGTTTGGGCATTTCGGCAATTTTTTGTGTCACCACTGGCTACACATTGCGCCCTCACTTTTGTTGCTCCCCCTACTTTACTTAGCCCCACCATGGGCCCTTTACTCTCTTTTTTATTCTCACCAGACGGTCATTTCTGGCTACCTATTCTAGCCCACTGCTTTGTCACCTCCACCCTTCTCCTACTCATCGCCTTTCTTTCTTTTGACTATATAAACACCTGTACTTTACCTTGTACATCACCAAAATTACAATCCAGTCTTGTCCTTAATTCTCAAGTCTCTATCCAATGCTACTTGTGACCCAGTGTGGTCACAACACTTTTCTGTGCCACTACTGTCAACTGTTATTGTTGTCACTTTTCACTGCTGAAGTCACTATCATCCCTTTTATTTAAAGTCCTTCTAAGCACTATAGTTTGTGTGTCAGGAGCCTGCTATCACTGAGGATCTTGTTATCTTAATTGTTCCAGTATAAAGCCCCTATCTTCCAACTTCCATCTATCCCTCCTCCTCCAAACCCCCATATCCTTGGGTTTCACTTTGAAGGATACAATAACTAGACCACCCACTGTTCTAGGAGGTGTGTCTGTCCTATCACTATGAACTACCTGCTACAGTATCTTGTGAACATCAAATATACATACAGCATCTGAACTTGAAAACCATACCTGACCTAAGGCCCCATGCCGCAAAAAAATTAACTGACATGGATCACCTTACTTAAAGGAGTATTGTATTGATCAAGGCCAAAGTTATGAGGCTGTGGCATGGAGGACAGTTACAAGATTGGGATACATTCATAGCTTTGAACAATATCCTTCCAGCTACAGACCCTATGTAATATTATTTTGTTAATTCCTCAATTGCAAAGAGAAAAATTGTAACAACCAAGAGTTATTTACTCTGGCGCACACAGGAACACACTATAAAGAAGATGATGGGGAGTGGTTACCCATTAGGCTGCAGTGAGTTAGTTGTGCTAGACAACAGGAGGACTCGCTGAGTCCTTCCCCATGTATTGCTCTTGTATATATACTAAAATACATGAGATACTGTACAGTTGTAAATAAAGTTCAAAGTCCGATGTCTAGCATGTGACCGGTCACATGATGGGTCTAGACACTGGTCATGTGACTATGAAAAAGTCGAAAATGTAAAGTAAAGTAAATGGTCACATGATTGGTCATGTGACTTGGAAAATAAAAGTAGAAGTACAAAAAGTGAAGTGTAAGTAGATGCTGGTATGTCAATTGTAACAAAAATATTTGTGCCTGTGAGGTGATATTCACAGCGACACATCTGAGTATCAGGCATCTAAGCATTGCCACACTGAATGTGTTGGCTTGAAACAGCTATGGTTGCATAATAACAAATCAACTTTAATTGGGCCTTTTGATCCATATTCTGTGACAACACCAACAAGACACAGTCTTGGGGCACTGGAGTACAACCATAGAGGCTACAACTCAAAGGCTTGATGGTACAACCTATCAAAGGAGGGAAGTTGTTGTCACTAATATTGGTATACACTAGGAGAGAACTTGCTGAGTCTGTTCCCATGTATTGCTCCAGTATATAAACTAAAATACATCAGGCACTGTACAGTTGTAAATAAAGTTTAAAGTCCAATATATAGCATGCGACCAGTCACATGATAAGTCTAGATACTGGTCAGGTGATGTGTTACATGATTGGTCATGTGGCTATGAAAAGTCCGAAATGTAAACTAAAGTAAATGGCCATGTGGTCAGTCACATGACTTAGAAAATAAAAATAAAAATACAGAAAAATAAGGCAAAAGTAGGTGCTGGTATGTTTATTGTAATGTCTGGCAAGACTACCCAACCAATAAAGTCCACAAAGAAGGATCCCCGTGGAAAATAGCTATTTTTCTCAAGTTCAGGAGACAACTAAATTGATTTTCTCAAGGTGCTATTGGATCAGTATGGGGAAAATTACGAGATCTCTCATGAATGTTGCTTTTCTTTCAAGTACTACTGTAGTGGCCACAGGTAAGTAACATAAACTGCATCACAATAATTATAATATATCATTACAACAGTAAAGGTGATGCATTAGATGTTGAGCCTGAACAAGAGTACAAGGAAATGGTAAAGAAAATCACTTACATCATTTCAAAAAAAATACACATTCTGTTTGACATGGAGGATGTGAAGAAAAAATACCTACCAATAGTGAGTGTGTCTATTAATAAAACTAAGTGAAACTCAGCCGCTGCCCGAGAGGCTATAGAAACGACTTTATTATTTACCTAAGTGAAACTACAATAGATGTTAGTTTAAGGTGATCTCTAATAAATGTAATGTAACATATCTTAGCCGCTACCCGAGAGGCTATAGAAACGACTGAGGTATTCCTATACTAAACCCCCTACTACTTATAGTCGGAGGTGCTACTCACTACAGTATAATGACTCCTAGGAGAACAATGGTTACTCCATGGAGTGGTGGCTATGCTCCATGGAGAACAATGGCTGCTTTGGCAGAGACCGGGTTTATCCGGTTTTGTCATCTATAGCATAAGTTAGGTGGAAACTAATGACAATCTGACTCACTTAGAGCATAACCTTGCAAGAATACATCTTTTGCTTGAAAAGCAGTACCCGGGAAAGAATTGGAGCTACTACATGTATAGCCCTGGTGATGGAGAGAGTGAGTTTGCGCTCACACCATTTATGATGTGTGAGTGGTCATTAGCTATTGTAAGTCTATTTCTATTGCTTTTGTACTGCTACTAACCACTTGTAGCATAATAGCAAAGCCAGCATTCTTGAACCACTGCACAGTAGTGCATTTGACACTGCAAAAAAATGGCCCATGTTACGTCAATGTGATCCACCAGGAGCTATATTGGCCAATATCAATCCACAAATCAATGATCTCACTGGCATATCCAAGTCACAGCTGATCACTACGGTAGCTAGTGTTTTTAGAGGAGACACCCTTTATTTGCCTGTCAGTCAACAGCTGCAATCTCCCAATACTCCAAAATACTCACAATCCAACCCTAGTCCTCTTCATTCCCCATCTGACATCTTTCACTACCTCAGGTATGCCAAAGACAAACTTGGTGTAACAGATGCATGCAACTTTGCGACTACTCTGTCTATCAAACAATATGGCCCTGATATCCTGTCAGAGATATCAGTGGCTGATCTCACTGTCCCAGAGATTGGACTAGCACCTGGCAATGCAATACAATTGAAATATTCAGCAACAAACTAGCAGAACTCAGCTGCCAAATATTGTTGTGTAGTAAGGGAAGCTGATGTAGCACAAAGCTCAGCAAGCACAGCCAGGGGCAGAAGAGGTCTTGAGGACAGTGATAAAAACTGCACGAGCTATGAAGCACATTATTTGGATGGAGGGCAATATTGCTCAGGCTGCAATGGTGCCACAATGCAAAAAGGTCATGCTCCACATGATATATACACAGTATATTTTTGCTCTGGCTGCAAAGCTTTATTACCTATTCCACAGGGCTATAGTGCTCCTATCCCATCAGGCCAGTTTGTAGATAAAGACAATGTCTTTCTACTGTTGTGTTGATAGCTAGTGTACCATCATATCATTATATTGGCATTGTTTGTGCCATAAAGAATTCATTAGAATTTGTGCTGATGCATATCAACAAATACACTTGATAAGTACACTACATGTAGCCTGATGCCTTAAACCATACAGCTGCTTTGGCTGGTGTAACTTGACTAGGGGCCTTACCCAGTGAAAAAATGCCTTCACCACTATGTCTGCGGAGCCACATTTTGATGGACGGAAATGCTGACTCAATAGGGTTCAGATCAGGGGAGTAAGGAGGTAAAAAGACAAGTTTACATACTGTTGGATGTAGTTAATATAAAAAAACAATGAAAAGATGAAAAAAAAAAACTTACAAGCCTCATCCTCAACAAGTTTTTGAACATCCACATATTCACGAAGGAACTACACAAAGTGTGCTGATGTCACAAATCCCTCAACTATCTCATACGTGATCAATACATCCAGGGTTAGAATCAGAAGGAGTGAATAGCGCTGCCTGGGCACAAAGCACTGTTTTTTTGTACACCTAAATCCCTCTAGCCCCCATCCATACTTTCTGTGTGGTGTACGGTCATCCTTTGAGCTCCCATTAGTAAACATCAGCATACCCAGATCCTCTACCATTGCACCAATCCGGTTCATAAATGCTGCATGCCAAAGATCATCACACTCAATGGCCTCAACACTCGCTTTCTTGCAAGTGAATTGCAGACAATGTAGTGTGCATGCAAGAGTCGGTACTGATACAGATGTGTGTCAATAGGTACAATTTTCTGCTGGATTTTGTCAAGATATAAGGTACAGTCCTGTGATAAGAGGCTATTGATGAATTTGAGATCAGTGCAGCTGAGGACATGTTGAAGGTTAGTATGAAAGTGTAAGGACCATTTATTATTTTCTTATCTTCTCACTCCATGTCTTGGTTCTCGAACACTTTTCCTGTTACACCTCTGGCTCTAGGGCTAGAGGTATCTTTTGCTATCCTGCTTCTTATAGCCCTCACAGGCTTCCTTACCCATTGTACTGGCTGGCTGGGAGCAATGCCCAGTCTCTGATCTGTGATACAAAGTGGTAATGATGATTAAGGACTGGTGGTAAGCATCTCACTAACCAGCTCCAAGCCCCATCAGTGCCTGGAGATACTAATAGACACTTTAGTCAGGATCATACCTCATCATGAGAATATGGTTCCTGGACATGCGTGACAACACTTATTATTAGTATACTTTCCTGCTGATTAATCTTCAAAGTCGTATAATAGTTATCCTTTTTCTTATTAGTTGATTTTCCCCTCAGACCACTTTCCTCTTATTCCTCTTTTGGTCTGAGGGATAGACGGTTAGCTATAAAAGCGTTACCTATTCGCGTATAGTTCCTTAGCTTTCTATTACTTGAAATATCCGCTTTACTTCTCAACAGAAACCCCTGAGTCTACTCCCATATCCTCTACCTGCTATATTCACTAGCATCTGTTGATCTCAGACTCATTGCTCCTCTTACTCCCTGCAAGTGCAGTTGGAGACAGGTATTGTATTTTGTTATAGTTTATTGTTGCCTCACAGACAGGTTGCAACAATGATATTGTAAGGCTCTATATATAGTTGTTTTCTTGATTCCTAAAAGGGAGCAGATGGTGTGGACATTATGACCAAGCTTGCAGTACAGAATGGGGACATGATAATTCAGATCATGCAAGATATATGAGCAGGCAGGCATATGTACAGTTGTCGGGGACTAAGTGTCATCAGAAGACATAGCATGTTACTCACAGGACCATTTGTAAGCCAGTACTCAGTTTCACAATTTGGACTACACAATAAACTCATATCTGACAGAGGACCACAGTTTGCCTGAAGTATCCAGAGAACTCCACAAACTCCTGAACATTGAAACCGCACTCTCCACAGCATATCATCCACGAAAAGATGGACAAACAGAATGATCAAACCAAGAACTGGAGATCTACCTCCGCATCTTCTGCCAGAACCAACCACACAGCTGGGCAAAATACCTTACTACCACCGAATTCTGCCACAACCAGCAACCACACTCCACGAATAACCAATCACTGTTCTACCTCCTCATGGGATATGAACCCCGAGTAATCCCAACTATATACCGGTCCATAAATATCCCATCAGTAGAAAGATGATTATCCGAACTACTTAGGGCAAGAGAGAACACCCTAAAAGCACACGAACTAATGAGAAGCAAGATGATGAAACGAACAAATGGAAAATTCACCAGATTCTCTGAAGGACAAAAGGTGTGGCTAGAAAACACCAACCTACGGGAAAGAGCTACCAAATACAAAAAGTTCAACATGAAATGCATCAGACCCTTCCGCATCCAAGAAAAGACTTCCCCGGTAAACTACCGATTATCCCTGCCTCCTCATTGGAAGATACACAACATTTTCCATGCATCCCTCCTATCCCCGTACACCGAGACTGACACCCACAGACCAAACTTTACCCAACCACCACCTGACCTTGTCAACGAAGAGGAAGAATACGAAGTAGAGAGTATTCTTAGACACAAACCCTGGAAACGTGGACGCTGTTACCTGATCAAATGGCGCCATTACCCTCATTCCGAAAACTCATGGGAACCGGAAGAACATTTAATAATGCTGCGGAGATACTGGAAGTGTATAAGAAAGACCACAGACTACGTTGAAGAGACATTGACCCCACCACCACCAATCCCCTGTCTCTTAACACAAACATGTCTACATCGCACTCTACTGGCTTCCCTGTCACCACCTATTCCATACCCGGCAGGGCCAACATGCTAGCCAACGACCGAGTGTGTCCTTTGCCCGTGGGCAATGACACAACCAAGCCGACGTCTCTGACGCCATAGAGCTAATGTCAGCCAAAGACGCCTACGTTTATTTATTCTACAAAACAGAAAAACGCTACCCCCATGCATACCACGCTCTTTCTTCCATGCATATCTTCCTTGCCATTGACCTTGTAGCTGATGAACTATTAAAAGCCACAGACTCACTACATTCGTTGGAAATCGAGCATTCACGGCTCAACAATCAGGACTCGAGTATCTGTCGGGCACTCCAGATGGAAAAATTAGTTTTGGATTCTTTGGAACGACGCTTGAGGATGAGCTCCTTGAGTGGGAAGACGGATGCGGCAAGGGCATATTTGAAATTAGGCAGGAGGACCTTGCTAACAGAAGTGTGCATGTGGATAGAGCGAGACAGCTGTACAAGTACTCCTCCACCCGGTTTGTCCCGCCAGTCCCTATTATACCCAGATTGGACCAGTGTTACCCCGGAGCACACTTACCACATCATCACCCGACAACCTCCGCCCACCCAGTTAGCGGAAGAATACGCTCCCACCGTCCCAACCAGCCCAATCTCGCAAGAGTCAAACCACTCCAGTCCCCATTCCAATGGATCAAACCCAAAACCTTGACCATCCCAGTCACCTCCGCCTCAACCAGTGCCAAACGCCCAGACACATTGTCTGACGAACCGACGAGGAGCCCGACGTGGTCAGAAAGAGTTGATACTCCAGATCCCCGCCGCCAGAACTCCATTGAAGTGTCAGTCTTGTACGTTGAAGAAACAGAAAGACAGTCCGCCTGGTGCAATGCACAGTCCTGAGGCTGGCTCTCCTTCTAACCCAATCAATGTAAATGACGCCAAAATGATCGACCAGTTGTACGCGGGAACATATGACCTGGGAGATGACAATCCCCCTACTCCCCAATCCAACACCTCATCCAACACCCAACAAAAATACCACCAAGGTGTTCGCAACAACACTCTTTACTGCCAAATTTGCGGTTGGAGTGACCATCGCACATATTACTGCGAAGCTTACTATTGCCCCGACTGTGACCGACGTGCACCGGGACATAGTTTCAACTGGTGTCCCATTTGTAGGGAAGACAAAGATCGGATTCTGATGGAGGGATTACATGGAGACGGACGTCAGTTACAACAATAGTTATAACATTGATGGCGAAGGTACCGAATTTCAGTGAAATTCGGAGCAAGTAAGGGGGTAATGTTACAATTTCCTTCCCTGTTACAGACTACTCATTTTCCTTTACTTATTGGTTATACCATCGGACCAATGACTCATTTCCTTCATGTATATGTCCATTCTCCTCACAGCTGTATTACCTAGTATAGTACTTAGTCCTCAACGGACGGACCAGCCCTAGATAGGACCTAACTCCTATCACCAATTCCTCTACCTATAAATATGCTTGTAACAGTAGTAGTATTTCCTCAATATGATTCTACGCAGTTTATGCTTACAAAGCTAGACTCATAAGATCAGACTTCTACTCAGAAGAAGACCAACATCCTTGAACTTGTCTTCAGATAAGTCTCTTTAAACCTTTGACAAAACCTCAGACTTTGTTAAGCACTTTGTGCGTAACAGTGTTTTACAAGTTACAAATTTGCCTTTTTGAGGGAAAATTTTATATGGCTTTCGAGTCCCTACAATTAAGTCCCCACCTCAACTTTGGTGAGGAATTTGTCCTCCTCACAAAATGGCGACGAGCGGTCCCAGCCATTCACTGGGTGTGCTCGAAGACAATTTCAGCTAGTAACCAAAATAACCATCGCCCTCCAGGCAGTTGTTACAATTGATGTACCAGTACCTACTTACACTTCACCTTTTTCGTACTTTTACTTTTATTTTTCCAATCATGTGACCACCATTTACTTTACTTTACATTTGCGGACTTTTCATAGTCACATGACCATCATGTGATACAACACCTGACCAATGTCTAGACTCATCATGTGACCGGTCACATGCTAAACATTGGACTTTAAACTTTATTCACAACTGTACAGTACCTCATGTATTTTAGTATATATACAGGAGCAATACATGGGGAAGGACTCAGCGAGTCCTCCTGTTGTCTACCAACAACAAACTTGTTGAAACCTAATGGGTAACCACTCCCACCTCTTCCTCTTCTTTTGAGTGTTGTTTTCATTGTGCTCCAGTGCCCCAAGACTGTGTCTTGTTGGTGTTGTCACAGCAGTCCTGGACCCCAAAATTGTGTGTAGTAGGTTTGATATGGACGGATATACTGTTGTTAACCATCAGTTCAGATAAGGGGGGCTATTCAGACATTTCTGAAAACATATGTTCCATTCCTAGCACAAAGTCCTTAATTATTGAGTGAGTTCCTTCCATGTGTGTGACTTTCCAGAAAGTAATGCTCTACTAAGGTACTGCAATCTCAGTTTCAAAAAGTTCAAGTGTGCCACACTCAAAATCATATTCAACCACTGATAGTGCCAAGCGGAGCTCCAACTCGGCTTGTGTGACCTCTGTGATGTCTGAATAGCCCCCCTAATCCAAACTGATGGTTAACAACAGTAAGATAACGCTGCGCATCATTGGCAATGTTCCGCACGGCCTGTAGTACTCACTCTCGAGAGTAAGAGAATGTCCGATTCAGTATTTTTCACTGGCTATACGGTGAGCGGGCCGGGAAAAGCGGTCTGGAAATTTATCGAAGTTGAAACCTGGATCCTGCGGGTCCAGGAATTAAACCCAGTGATCTGGCTGGGTACGAGCCTAATAAATTGCTGTACTTTCCTAATCCGATGTTGTCATTTCAGTCTCCGCTGCGCCTGGTAACGTTTCTAAGTTTTATGATGTCAAAATCGTGATTTTATAAATACTAGTGAATCTTCCATGTCTGTATGTCTGTACTAAAATTCGTTCACGCCACTTCGCTCCAACGCTTTAAAACTACATAACTTTGCTTAGGCGATAACGTCAAACCTTCGTTGATGTCCCACCCATCCAGAGACTTTGGGATTTTATCTAGGAAGAACGTAGCTCCAAGGATGGCGAGGTACAATTTCAGATCCAGCATCTGTAATTATCGTCCCTTATCAGTATCAGGACATTCTAGCTCAAGCAGGTTACTTACCGCTAGTTTCTGTCCATAGCACCCTCTCGGTCCAGTACTGAAAGCCAGATTTGGGCCAGCTCGTCCGTCGAATTTGCCTTCCGCATCGATCCATCTTTCAGGTACGAACTTCTCTGCATCATCTCCCCAGTATCGGAATCGGCGAATGGATGTTTTCGAACGCACGGGATCAAGGCTGGCATGAATCTCTTTCGCCCGGTGTGTTTCGGAGAAGGACGTTCCAGTAATGGTAAAGAAGACGGTCGTGCCTTTAGGAATAGGATGTCCCAGAATGACAGTATCACAGAGCGCTGTTATAGACGAAGCAAGAAACAAAGATGTCAATCAATGACTCTATCAAAATGGGACAGCGGGACTTACCCTCCCTCGTTGTGATATTCGCAAGTTTGCAGAATCTCAAGACCTCGTTTGCAATCGCTTCGAGATATGGAGTTTTATCAGAACTGACATCGGCGAACGTTGTCAGTGGTGCGTCTTCGTCGAGAGCGGAGGGTATCCCTGCAGAAATAAGCTCATCATGCAGTCTTCGCTGAACATCAGGGTGCGCCGCAAGGAGCTTCACTACCCAACGAAGTGCGACAGCTGTGGTTTCAGTGCCCTGTCTGCTTTCAGTTTCGACCGCTTTTAAAGATAGCGCAAGATACTCACCCCAATCATGTATGTGAAAAGTTCATCAGTAAACTCCTCCATTGGCATCTTAACGTCCTTCAACCCGTCTTGTTTCTCCAACCCTGCAATCAAATCCACGACACAGTTGGCATCCTCGACGCTTGCGGTCTGAGCCTTAACCCGAGCCTCAGTAATCTTGCTTTCAAGGAATTTCCATACATATGATTTGGCGTGACGGTAGGATGGGCGGATTGAATGCAAGAAATGGGTCAAGCGTGGCGTTAATGAGTTGATAGTAAGTCCTGCATACTACACCATGGTGTATTGGATTAGTATCTTCCCGAAGTGCGGACGGATAACGAAAGGGCATACTTTGAGTAGCATATTGTTTGATTCGTGCAATTCACTCGATGGTCCAACGATATCAGCAGGTGCGATTTTTACTCCTTTGGCTTTCAATTCAGCTGCCTTTTCTCCTGCGTACGTTCTCTGTTCTGCGATCAGTCCAAACGACTGGCCGAAGGTGAGTTCGCTGAGCGTATCCTTGGTGCAAAAGAGATGAAATTAGTTTAGATAACCGAGCCTGTAGCCCTCCAAACAGAAACACTTGGAACATACCGTAATTGACAATTCGAAATCATTGGTTGGGTCAAACGCTTCATTGTTGAGGTACCCACGCTTACTATCCCAGAACCGGTACAGCTCACGTGCGTTCCACGACATGCCGGGAGTCATAGCAGAGAGATACTTCTGGGTCATGGCAGGAGTCAAGAATCGTCGATGGACTTTGAATTCAGCATCTGCAACGACCACCACCATGAATACTCGGATACTGAGCCTGCAGGGAACTAATGTGGATGGTGCACGTACCAGTTTTGAGAGCAATCTGACCGTGCGGAAGGAAGCCATGGAAGCTGTACGTACAAGACTATTCAGCCGCGCACACGTTGAATCCACAGCAGTGCTTACCGGTTCACCATATCGTCGGACCTATCAAACTCCTTTGCTCTCCTCAAGAGGATGTCCTCAATCTCCTGGATGTCGCTCAACACGATTGACTTGTTCCATGGTCCAAGCATGACTTGTGCAATGGGTCCGAGTTCCTTGGATACTACATTAAACCAAGTTGTGCGGAAACCGGTTTCTTTGACGTGTTTGATGATACGCCCTATATCACCGAAGGGGCGCACTGGGTAATGGGGGATGCCAGGTAAAGCACGTGGGGTCAAGGCCCAGAGCGCAAAGCGATATATTAGTGAGAGGACTAGAGGAGGGAATATTACGACTGTAGGGAAGGTAAATAATCTGGGGAAGACATGGCTTGAAGTGACACCGCTGAACGTATCCATGATGCTTCAGTGATTATGGGTGAAAACTTTGAAGGTAGCATGCGCTTTATTTGACTGTTCGAAGTCGGTCCATTGCTATCCATGCAGTCGTAGACTCGATTCGCCATTGGTTTGTAGCGGCGCACTGATAACACTCCCAATATGGTCATGGTTGATGCGATCATCAACGGCCGCTGAGCTGTACTAAAGTGTAACGGGACGGGCCGGTAGGAGCGAATGGGTGTGCGGCGTTTATGCTCAGGAACACTGTCCATAGTGTATGGTCATTCTCCCGCAGAGTCAAGGCGGATGAGTCCTGATCTATCAGAAGGCAGTGACATATCAGTCATGGTCTGCTTTTATACTTTTGTCTCAAGGTTTGTCCCAATCTATCTATCTATCTATCCTTCCTTCACGTAGATCATGTCTCTTCCGAATCTCACAGGTATGCTGCTGCCTTCACCAGCTGCTCTGCCAGAGGCAGCGAACAGCTTCTTTCCTAGCTGGTATGCAAAGGCTCTTCCAGTCCTCGTCATCTCATATATCGCCTTTTCGAAACTTTTCTCCTCTAATAACCCGAAGGAACCGGGTCGTCCTCCTGTCGCCCCTAGCTTGATCCCATGGCTCGGGAGTGCCCTTTCTATGGGCCTGGATACAGATAGCTTTCTCCTCAAAAACGCGTATGTCTTCTAATCGATTTACATCAGACGGGAAAACTGATTCTACAAACCTCCTAGTCGTCGATTTGGGCCTGCTTTCTTTGTAGATGTCATAGGTGTCAGGTTCCTCTATGTGGTAGCACGCGACCCCGTTAAGTGGGCTTTGAAACGACCTAAGGATGTTTCAATACGTAATGTGGAGTACGATTCCCTTCAAGCCATCTTCGATCTCTCAGAGGAAGCTGCGGCAACGGAGACCTCCACAGCTATTGCATTTAAGACACTTTCGAGGTAAATCCATGCTGTTCACCACTTCTATCGCTAGGATATCAGGCTTATCATTCATTTGTGTCGATCAGAGACTGCGCAAAGTGGGGTGTGCAGCCTACTGTCATGGCTTTCAACTCCGTCTTCAGACGTGCTGTCGAGGAATTCAAGGACAAATTTACGGTTGAAGAGCGCCGCAGTGGTAAAGTTGCGGGATTGGACCATATATTCTTGCCTTTGATGTGGGTTGCCATCGATCTATACTATCATCGAATCTGAAAGCATATTTATTTTTGTTAGATATCGTGCGTTCTCCCAATCCTCCTTAGGCATGTCCTACCCTGGAGAATCGCACTGGAAGGACCACAATGACTTCCATGATGCCTTCCCAGTTCTTTTCTCGGGACTCCCAAAGTCCTGGGTGTCTACCGGAGTGAAAGGTGAGATTTGGGTGATGTTCTGTTCACATTGGATTCTGACCTTATTTTCCCCCTCGTCGTAGCACGTAAACACCTTTCTAGTATAATCCACAAGCTCCTGATCGACCACCTCGAGACGCCAGATCCAGAATCGGACTCGTCTCCCATTTTCATGAAAATCCTCGCCAAGGTCTTGAACCAACTGCCTGACATGGCGATGGAGGACGCCGCTAAGATGGTTAACTTGTACATGTTCGCTGGCGACAATGTTGGGTTGGCCGCTTTCTGGATTATGTCGCATGCGGTTGGACACGCCGGTTTATACAAACGTCTGAAGGACGAGGTAGATGGTATTTGGAGAGAATATAGAATCAACAAGCCGACAACCGTGGACTCGGATGGCAATGAGAAAAAGACGGAGTTTTACGATATGCTGAATGACCTCGAGATCCTCGATAAAGCTTTCCCTCTGCTCAACAGCGTGTTCAAAGAGATGCTTCGCTTCCATGGTAAACAGATGTTTGTTCGACGTGCTGAATCAGATGTCCTTCTCCCCGCTCCCACGGACGAAGATCCAGACCGTAAAGTCCTGGTCAAGAAGGGCGAAAACATCATTCTGTACATGCGTTTCACTCATCATGACGAGAACGTGTTCAAAGATCCGCATACGTTCATCCCGGAGAGATTCTTGGCTACGGGAGGTAAAGACGCGGGAGAGATCGACGAGAGCAAGAGTGGGTTTATGATTCCGTTCGGATTCGGGACCACTGTGGTGAGTAACCGTATCTATTGCCTCCTGGTTGCTCGAATAACGATAAAATGATAAACAGTGTCCCGGCCGTTATCTCGCCTCTTTCGAGATAAAAACTGTTGTCTTAACTCTGATCCACGCATTCGATCTCGAATATGTCGGCCTTACTGGGCTATCGCGTTTTTTGGGCTTCCAAGGCCACAATATGGACAAACCAATTTGTCGTCAGAACCTCGCTACATTCGGCACCCCTTTGAGTATGCCGTTTGGAGATATGAAGTTGAGGTTTAATGTGAGGGAGGATTATTAAGGGCAGAGCCCCCACGTATATATTTCTGGACTCGTAGGATCCAGATTGCAGCGAGATGAATTAGTAATGTAGGAAGTGGGAATAATCAGCATCTCAGCTGTGATCAGAGCAACTGTTGTTTGTACCTAGTAATAATCAGGACTACATGTACAGTTGTATGGCAACGGTATTAGATAATAAGGCGGAAGAACGGTACAAAGCTGAATCAGGATAGAACACGAGAAAGTGTCTATATAGTGCTTTAGTCTCCCCAGCCATACCAAATCACTGATGTGACGGTCGATATAAGCAAATAGTCCCGTCTATATCTATACATGGAAAGGAAAAAGGATCATGTGTAGTTTTTGATCATCTTATTCATCGTAAACTATATACACGTAATTATGAGTTATGCTGGACAAGTAATTCTCAATCTAGAGTTTGTGTCGCCAGTTTCTGCTGCAGTAAAAATAGTATAAATTCAATGCAGTCGGGACCTAATTAAAATATACAGTCAGAAAGCTCAGAGCTCGTTGTAACACCCTGCAGATGTATCACATTTTGTAAGTACCTAGTTAAAATACAGAAAGCTAGAGTAGTACTAACTAGCTGATGGCCAAGCTGCGAAGAAAAGGGTCTCACCTCATAGCTCGTTGTAAGGCTCTGAGGTGTTCCCTATTTACGACCAGGTCAGGTATATGTAACAAAAGGAAGCAAAACATCAAATTGTTTGAGAGTTAAATCTATGATAAGATAAGGGACTAAATCATAGTAAGCTAAGTATTCGAAGAGGAAAAAACAGAAGGGGTCTCACCTCAGATCTCGTAGAAGAGTCTGAGGTGGTACATGGCAACTAGGCCTCCTTTATAGGTAAGTAAGAGAACGGAACCAAAAAAATTCTGATGGTATATATTGGCGCACGGGCCACTCATACTTACACGCCTTTCTAGGCGCTTCGTATCGGCTTGCTTCCTCTCTCAGCACTCTCAATCCAACAAAACAATTTGATATTGGCGCATGAGCCAACTAAACTAGACAAACCTTCCTTTTCTAGGTCTTTAAAACCTCTCCGGAGAAGGCCCGTGGATACTCTCGCAAAGAATTTACTATTTCAATGTTCAGCGCTCAGCTCGTGAAGAATCTCCGAGTCTGATGAGCCAGCCACACCACTCACTTCCCGTCAAAGATCAAGGTGCTTATGTGCATAAGGTTCAGTAGCTATGTGACGTGAAAAAATGACAGTCGTAGCAGCATGGAAAGTTGCTTTGCACTTTCAGAGTTCACCGTGCATTATATTATATACATCACTGTTCGAGAGTACGGGAACCGACAAAACCTCTAGTTTAAGTTTGCATTAGAGCAATATCTTGGCTCAGCTAGGTTCACTTCTAACACACCAATGATATTTATATATTTAGCTTGAATAAAAAAAAATATAGTTATAACGTCCAAAATGTAGCCAAAATGTACGTATAAATAAGCCACCGAGCAGAAACGGCTGTAGATATAGTATCGTTTAGTTAATCTTGTAACCTCCAGCCCTGGACATAACATTGTAAGGGTCGATATCAGAGCGAATTTGGCGGAGCCTTGGTAGGTTGTCACCATAAAAGTGTTCAACGGGGACCTGAGGCATGGCGTAGTTCCTGTTGGGCAGAAAATAGCTAGGTCAGCTTCACTCCGCTAGCCACGGTCAAATTACTTACGGGTAGATGATCTGGTCTGAAACGTTTTGTCCTGCTGCCAACGCGGAGTTCACGAGTGCCTGAGTGGTGTTGGAGATGGTATCGAACATAATGTCATCATTCTGTGCAGTGTACCAAGTGAACTCGATATTAGGGGGGAAGGTGACATGAGCGCTGGAATGGGGGGCAGCAGATGGAACGGCGGTGTCCCAGTAGCTCTGAATGAATGGCTCGATCGTCCAAGATCCAAAGAACTTGGGGTCAAGCGCATTCAATTTGGGACCAAGCGCGTCACGCTACAAGAGGATTATAAAATCAATGTCTGATAAAAGTCAATCAGAGCAATATGGGTACAAACCTGGCTCTGGAAAGACTGGACTACGGACGTAGGGAATCCTTCAACGGCGAGCGTCGAGTATCGAGTACTGACCAGATCTATTAGTCTTTATGTAAACTTTCAATCTCATCTTACTCACCGACCACCATTCAAAAAGCCAACCGTTGCAAGGGAGGCAGAAGTGAAATTGTCAAATGTACGCAAAGACCAGTCAGTGGGTTGAGATTGGGGGAGGCTGGTAGTAGAACATTAAAACACAGTGGAGAGAGAATACAAGAGAAGACCAGCACACCTCAGGAAGTCGTTAAACATAGTGGGCTCTTCCTCTCCGTTGTAGAACAACACAATGATCTCAAAGGCCTAAGAAACCAACGATGAGCACAGAGAATAAAAATAGGTCGACAGGTGCTGTACCGAGTTGTTTCCGTAGGCAAAAGTCCCGATAAGTTGCGCTTTGGGGTCAGTGTTGTTGACAGAGAAGTTAGCAAAAGCAGCGGCAACAGCATCCGAATTCCCAGGTTGAGTGTAGACAGTTCCAGCCCATACTTTGTTCGTCTGGTTGTAACCCTGAAGCTGGAAGTTCGTGACAATACCAAAGTTGTTCAATCCACCCTTAAGGGCGAAAAACAAGTCAGGATATGTCGAGTTGTTGACTTCGAGGATGGACGAATCGTTGGGAGAAATGAGAGTGTAAGAGGCAACATTATCGCAAGCCAGAGCGTGTTCGTTGGAGATCCAGGAGTAACCACCACCAAGCGACAAACCAGATACACCAACAGTAGCAAAGCGTCCGCCGACAACGTTGACACCCTGAGGAACAGTCTTGGCATAAACTTGATCCCAGCTAAGACCAGGTCCCACGTTGACCAAAGCAACCTGGTTGTTGGGACCAGGGGCATCCGTTATGTTCAGCTGATTGAAACGGTTCAAGGCGACCAAAACTCCGGTTGTAGATGAGAATAGTTTATTACTGAAGATTTCAGTTAGTAAGTTTACCAGACATAGTAGAATGGTGACGTACAGATTGTGACCCCATCCCATAACACCGAAGGGTGCCTGGTTATGATTCCGAATGGAGGTCATCTGTAATCACTGTGGTCAAACGCCGAAGATCATGAAAAAGGTATGGGCATTGCATCCTCACCACTAAAGCAGCGTCCTCGTTGGAACCCGGTTCGACAACACAAGTCGCATTAGCCCGATTAAAGAAACTGGCAGGGAGTGTCGTATCATATACATATTCAGTAGAATCTGGGGAGAAAAAATAAGACAACCTTCATAAGCAGACAACGGATAAACCGACGTACTAGGATAAAATACAGCTGATGCTGAAGAAAGACTGCTTTGGAGCTCTTGGCATACCGCAGCAGCATCAGAGAGCGAAGATGCACTGACGGAAAGAAGGTAGCTCAGCGCTACGGCGAGAAAGAGCGATCGGGCCATATGGGGATCTGCTCGTGAGTTGTCGACTTTATTTGGTGTTTGTCTAATGCCCGCCAAGAAATGGGCCGGATAAGGGAAAGAAGATAAAGAAGGTGTTGTGCTTAAGAGCTCAAGAACCTCGTGCCCTTATATTCCACTCGGGGGGGATGGTGAGAAAGTTTCAGTGTGCCAGGAATTGCTACTCTGCTTGCGAGGTTTATTGCGATGCCTGCCGATGCTGTCAAGCTAACAGGCGGACGGGTCGAGGGCTTCGCAGTGCCTTCCCTCGGGCCTCAGCGCTCAAAGCGTAACTCATCACAGCATCCGAGGCGAATGATGCAACGGCGGCACGGCACATTCATTTCGGACACTGGTCCCAGGGAGGGATCCCTGCCGCCATAGTGTGCGGCCGCACATATTTTTGACTCGGTCCAATATTGGGATTGTCTGGAATCTGGAATCTGGAATCTGTGATACGTTGATTGTGGTATGCTTTGATGGACCGGGTAACATTGTAGCTGCCTACTCGCCTGGCTCATAGAATAATTTGGTGTGTCCTACTATCTGACCGATACTGTTTCGTTCAGGAACATTTGCCATATGTACCTCTACTGCGACATGTGAAGCATATTAAGTTTTCCGACCTAGAAATAACATCGAACTTCATCAGAAGAGAGAAGAGGATGCCCAACGAAAGACGAATTCCTTCCAAGCACCGCCTTGATAAAAGTAGTAATTCCAGATGAAGGTTATAGGGTAATCTTTGAACCTGGTCCGACCACTATACTTTGGATTGATTTACTGATTCTGCTGATGCGGCAACAGTGTCGTCTCCTGTTTCGTGGATTTTCATATCTGGATTAACCCAGTAACATGTTCCAAAGGGTATGGTCTGAGGCATGCACGATAGTAAATCGGTGTAAGCCGGGAATTGAAACTCAGCAAGACAACGGGAAGCAGCGATAACACTCACTGGCAGGCTGTGACTGCAGGGACAAGATCCGTGGTCTGCGGCCGCAGAAGATATACGTATACGACGTATTGGGCGTTTCGGAAACCCGACGTTTGCTATTCATTGCTTAGCGCTAGTTTTGTGGATCATCATCGTGGTTAAGGTGAGTAAACCTCGTTGCCTGGTGCCGTTTATGGCTGAGTTGCGCTCGAACGCAGCTTTAGGACGATACGGAACTCGGACAATACACTGCCAAAATATCTTATTCCCCGATGGCAAACGGGAAAAGTAAAACAGGCGTGGCCGCTGGTGCCGTAAATGTATAGATGGCGTCTGTATTTCTCTTCTGCCTCGGTACTTCTTGTCTCTCCCTCCCACCAAACTCCCTTTCTTGCTCGTCCTCTTCTCGCCCTACATGCCTTTCTCTGAGAATGATGTCCCGGATCTTACGGGCAAAATTGCTATTGTTACTGGCGGCAACAGTGGCATAGGAAAGCAAACTGTTGCTGTATTATTATCCAAGGGTGCCAAGGTCTACGTTGCTGCTCGTTCAGAGGCTAAAGCCAAGCAAGCCATCAAGGAGCTGCAAGAAGCGAGACCCGAGACCAAGAAAGGCCAGGTTGAATACATTACCCTGGACCTTTCTGAGGCGAAGAAGGCGAAGGCAGCAGCTATCGACTTTAAACAGTATAGAACTTCGTTCACAACTATCTTTCTACGAGCTCACTCATTCGCAGGCGAGAATCACGTCTTCATCTTTTATTCAACAATGCTGGTATAATGGGTGTACCTAAAGGCTCTAAATCACCAGATGGCTACGAACTTGTAGGTTTTGCCCTAATTATATCTCAATGTCTCCTCGTGTAATTATCTGACTTCAACCTTTCTATTTAGCAATGGGCTACGAACGTTTTTGGGCCTTTCGTATTTACTCACCACCTCCTGCCTGTACTGAAAGCGACAGCTGCGGACTCACCTCCCGGCACTGTCCGTATCATCAATACGTCATCTTCTGGTGCAGGACAAGCGCCAAAGAAAGGCGAGCCCATCCCTCTAGATGACCCCACGGTTGGCGCAGGCGCAAATCCTGCCTCTCCTTCCGCTTGCTACGGTCATGGAAAACTGGGCGACATCTTATGGACCAGAGAGCTCGCAAAAAGACACAAGGATATCTGGAGTTTCGCTCCCCACCCGGGACCAGTGCAAAGCGATCTCATTAGGCACATGGGAATTCCAGGACCAGTTGTCTGGTGTTTGAACGTAAGTTGCTTGTTTCCTTTTTTTTTCTTTCTTTTTTTTTTTTTTTGTGTTTCGTAAGAGTTACTCAAAGTTTTCTCTTCGCCTACTACAGAGAGTTGTCTTCAAGCCTGTCGAATACGGTGCACTTACCCAGATTTTTGCTGGTACAAGCCCCACCATCACCGCAGACAAGAATGGATCGTACCTGGTACCCCTTGCGTAAGTAACTCCTGTACTTTACCAGACGCATTTTAAAGCTGCTGCTATAGGCAATTCACGAATTCCCTCCCACACCCCCGGGCGAACGATGATGCACTTGGGAAGAAAGTATGGGACTGGTGTGAGAAGGCTATGAACCAGCATGATGCTGGAGATGATGCAATTTAAGGAGTTGATTAGTGCTATAATTCATGTTCCAATGTTGAGCACAGTACTCGTTTTCACCGGTGAACTTTTGATTTTGCAACCACCATATGCCATTTACGACGTTTATTTGTATTAGCACTTTTTTCTACCGTTTTTCTACACGCTATAGTAGTAACAGCTGATTTGGAAAATCACTCTTTTGTTCTCCAATAGTATTAGTAAGCTAGCTTACTGTGGCTGACCTAGTAGTCATCCTAACTTTTCTGCTTGATTACACTGCACTTTCGAGTAAAGTAATACTTTGTATTTTTCTCGTGAAATCCCAAATAGTACGCAAATAATGCTTTGATAATATTCTATATCAGGTAATACCACATTTTTATTCTGGTATTTTGACTTTGATGTGGGGGAGCTGATCATGGATGATCGATCACAATATCTGTAGTACTGGTGTTAGGTAGCGCTCTCAATATACAAGTCCTTTCCACCTTGAGTCCGTTTCTCTTAAGTTCAACCATCATCACCATCATTGGCCCATCCAACACATCCACCACTATCATATTTGCTCAAATCACCTCAACTCTAGGCTACTGTCATCTTCCAGCTCAATGATCAATGATCCTGGCATATATCAATTAAAATGTCAGCAAAATATTGCTGGTGTATGTGTTCCCATTGTGCCAAAGCCCCTGATGGTTGACTCTGGTAGCTTGTCAAAGTCTCTCAGAGACATATGGCAGCAGATGAACTGCAATGGTCCAATATTCGTTAGAAGAGACTTTGCAAGAGAATATGCACAACAGCCACCCCCGCACCTCAACATTGTCATCCCTCAAACTGAGCATCAGCAAGAATATCAAGATGATGATGAAACAGTCTGAGAAAGTCCAAGGCCATACTTGCCTCTGAACGGCGGTTTAGATAACAACTCAGACTTGATTCACTCACTCCCCGATCCTGCCATCAATGCAGACTTCAGCCCAGACAAGGATGACTTCTTTGCCAATTTACAGGACCAACCTTCTCTTTCTCCAGATGACAATAGTGGCAGCGATAACGAACCACCCCTTTCTGACAATTCTGACAGCTCTGACGATGATATAATCCATGATCCCCTCTTCGCATCCAGGCCAAATATTTTTAGTCAACAAGATGACAATGATGCAGAAGGCAACTATCAAGATGACTACCCTCCTGCCTTCTACGAACACCCTGCCATTTGCAATGCGTACATCAGGGCATTTATTACCACCTTATTCAATGGAGGAACCCACAATACTATACGCATCATCCTAGATGGTGCAGCTCTCAACTTTCACTCAGCATGCCAACAATCACCAGATGTTCAGTTTGAGGGCCTTGAGAGCATGGCCAGGACACTAATGACGGTAGAAAAAAGATTTGGCGCCTCCTACAATAGCCTAATCACTTACTATTTTGTCTGTCCAATATACTGGAATCTGTACCATCCTTCAAGGCTTCAAGATAACCACTTCTCCCCCTCCTGTACAGCTGAAGACTGCAATAGTGTTTTTTACACCACCAAACAGATGGCAACTGGATCTTTTAAATGAACACCCTGCAAACTTCTACTGTATGTCCTTCCGGCACAGGCAATTCAATGATGGATCTGCCGACCAGGAAAATATGATCAGCTTCAGAGTTGGCAAGGACATGGTAACAAACCTGGGGATAAGCCTCCAACTACCACTGAAAGTCTTTCATCATTTGAAAATCCAGCCCATGTACAATATGCATTATGCCTGGGGCTGGAGAGCCATATTGGCTGGAATTCAAAGATGTCAGGGCGGACCTTGGACAATGGAAGATATTGATGTCCGGGAGCTTCATCAAAGGTTTGTCTCACTGCTATGCGGCCTTGTCTGGCAGATAAACCTGGACTGGTAAGTGTTTTGTTTGCATTTTCTTGCAGCGATACACACTTAAGTTAATATGATATTTCAGGTTTCAGTCTGTCAAGCGAGGCAGCTATTCAACTGGCACTCTTTACATGACTTGCTGCAACAACCCTAAAGGTATCCGGTACCTAACAGAGAAGACTTTTCTGATCATAGTCATACCAGGCCTGAAAGAACCAAAAGTTGAAGAGCTTAACAAAATTCTCAAGCCATTTGTCAATGACATGCTAAATTTATACAAAGGTATGCTCCATTTAATCCTATAACAACATTTACAGGTCAATCTTTTTGTATTCCTGGACATCAAGACAAAAAGCCCACCAACTCAATCATCAATAGTGAAGTATCAAACCTTCCAGCTAGCCGCAAAATAGAGGGACTTGCTGGCCATTCATCACAGCTTTTCATGTGTGTAGCGTGCAATACACCTTCATATTGACTTGCTGAACAATCTGGCTTTGATCCATCAAGTAAGTAGTTTATTATTTTACTTCAAATACGCGCAAAAGAGAGAAATGGTTTCCTCTCAACAGAATAGAGGACTTTTTTCCCTCAGTCATATGGCCTATGTCTGTAGGTAGATTGCCACCTTCTGTAAGTTCTCCGTACACATAAATAAATGACTAGCTGCTTATTCGATCTTCAGATAACTAGAAATGCAAGTTCCGCCAAAGCGGATCAGTGGAGATCACAGTTTATTTGTTGCATGGCAGGTATCCAGGCCCCTAAATCAGCAAGCAATACAAAGAATGCATTGTTTCAAGCCCGGAGTGAGAAAGTTGTCCAAACATATCGAAGACAAGCACTACTCGCCTCGGATCCACCTCCGACACAAGAGAAACTTGATATGATACAAGAAATATCAATGGACCGATCTCTGAGCTCCCATTATGCAAACATCATTGAGTTCTTTGTAGCTATACAAATTTTATCCTCACGTTCTATTAGCCCAAATGAAATTACTTGAGGATGTGCAGCATTATTTCGTTCAGTTCAAACATGGGCTCGCATGGGCTGTCATCTGACACCCTATTTTCACTTGGCTCAACATTTTGAGGCTCAATTTCTCATGTTTGGCCCTTGTTACGCTACATGGGCATTTTCTTACGAAAGAAATAATGGATTCCTTGGTTGTACACACCATAATAATTACAAGGGTGGCAAAATTGAATGTACCATAATGCGTAGATGGTGGAAATGGTTTGTAGTCCATGACTTGGTAGGTACTTGCCTTATCTTATATTCAACTCACGCTGATACATGTTATGTAGATATCCATTCTCAAATCACTACTAGAGTCTACTCCTGAAGACCAAGACTCCATATACTTACTTGAATCCTGTTTAAAGGGTAAAACCCCCATGCAATGAAGAGGAACACTACAGGAATACGTCGGTTGTTTTCAAGCTAATGAAGAAGATGCAAGGCATTTGTCATTACAACACTGCCATGCATTGTTATGTGCTAATGTTTTTTTAGGCTCTATAGACTTCCTAAGATACAGCAAAGAACTCAATATATTGACCCTTGATGACGACGGCACTATCTACGCTCTGGTCCTTGATTATATACAAGATCTCTGGAGCAACATTGAAGTAATCCATCCATTCCAATGTGGCCCACGGCAATCATGGCACATACTTCATGGGTAGAGTATGTAATTACTCACATATTTTCGTTGACGCAATCCGATATGGCACAGCAACACACAATCGAGGGAAAAAGGCAAAATATGCTTATATTTTAGGCCATATTGCTGTGGAAATCCAGTGGAAATTCTGTGTAATACAGCCCCAAGAAAATCAAGAAGGTATTCCTCTAATAGCAACAGTTGCAATCATTCAACGCTTCCAAATGGACCATCAAATCCCTGAGTTTCCCTGGGATATGTGGTAAGCATTTCATTACTCGTGTTATATCAGATTCTGACCGGCTATTGGTGATCTCTCAGGTTAACAGATTTAGGTGTGCAGGTCTGGCATGGTAGGTCATTGGGAGAGTTATAGATCGTGCCAGTGGAGGTGTTCTCGGGTCAGTTGATTCTGGCTCCATTAACTATCAAGGGAGTTGAATATTGGGCAACAGTTGCTTATAATCATGTAGGTCTTTTTTTCTTATTATCTTTCTGGTTTCTGACATTTTGCTTAGGATGGAGCAGAGGTAGACATGGCAGTTGATTCAGACAACGAGGAAGACATCTAAGTACTGCTGCTTTTGTACCACTAATATAATTTGTTGTCATGGTCATATAGCTCATTATCACCATTGCCATAATCAAACTCATCACCTTGATCTACTTTGCCATGGAAATCCTCGTCATCACCCTCATTGCTGTCTTCCATATCTCTCAAGTTATCTTCTTCAAACATCTCATCCAGATCATTTAACTGATTTGCTAAGTTAATTTGCTTTAGAATATCTGCTTCTTCTAATATCATGGATGATTTGTTGCAGTTCTCTATGGAGTTCCAACCATACTTCATCAACCATACTACGAGGGATTTTGATGCGGCAACATCCACACATTAGTAGGGGTTTCTCTTTCACATTGCCTGGTCCGAAGTCATGGGGGCTTTGTTTTATTCCTAAACCAATAGCTTTCTGACGTTTCTTTTTTACCAGGTCATTGAGTATTTGAACAGTATTGTTTACTTATTGATCATTAGCTAGTCTCCAGGTATATGTATTTGAACATACATACCCATGGTGCACAATAGGCAGGAGGTCTTGAAGTTCACGGCCTTGACACACCCTTGAGGTTTCCATCATTTGCAGATTCATCAGTATCTGGATCAAGGACATTATCTTGATCTGATTCATTGGTTGACTGGTATGCAGCTTTGAATAGAAATTCCCATTCAGGACTCCAAAATGATGTTGTGTGCCTGATTGAAGAGCGCTCAGCCACTTTCTATTCAAGTGTTTAGATCAATCTGGGTTGCGTGAGTATACTAACATATTACTCTGATTTTTCTAGCAGCCCTCCTCCCTTTGATACAAGCTATGTGTGCTAATGCTTTGTTATTAGTGGTGAGTTTTTTGTATTTTTTTTGGAAATTGTGGAACACTATTTTGATGTGTTGTTATATGTCATCAAGACTCTTGTTTGATAGTACATCAAGTGAAATTCCAGGACAGATTTCAGCCCCTTTTTGACAGATGTACTTCACCACTTTTTCAACCCAGCTGATATTGTCGGCCCATGTTGCTTCAAAATTTGGACATACAACATAGGCCTTGCAGGATTCAAGCCGGTACCAAGATGAACCATCTTCAAGAGGGACCATATCATGAAGAGAGGTAGGATATAGTATTCCCATGGTGTGTAGAAGAGACTTGCAAATGAGAGTCTGTATCAAGTGAGTACTTTAATTTGTGAAGAAAATTGAAAATAAAACTTACATTGTATGAGTTGTTTCTTAGTGTTTTGTTCGCCTTTTGGACTACTTGTGTGCTTTTGTCTAGCGTTGTTTTCTGTTGCTGTAAGCTTTCCATAGCTATGGTCATATCTTGAATTGCTGATGATTGTATATGAGTTTGATTCTTGAGGTCAGCAATGTTGTCTTCAGATGCTAGTAAACTGTGAGTTGTTCTTTCTTGTTGATGATGCATTTCTTTGATAGTCGCTTGCATATTTTTGAGGGTTCCAAGAGCATGTTGAAGTTTGCTGGTGATGTTGGCTGTGTTTGATTGCAATTCAAGGACTTTATCTGCTAGTGCTTGTGACCATTTGGTGTTGAGGATATCTGGTACATTTTTGTTGCCTACATGGCTTGAGATAGTGGAATGACCACTTGAAAAACCTCCAGAGTGGTTATGAAAGTTGGGGTTTGGTTGTGAGGCCATTATAGGTGGTTTTTGAGTGTGAGTCAAAGATGAAGATGCAGGTGTCGGTTGACAAGAGCTGAGGCTGGAGCGAACACTAGTAGCCAATGTAAACATTGCACAACCAGGGATGATTTGAGGAGCAAAATTTGGTGCTTTTTTGGTGGTACCAGGTGCAGGACGAGTTGCTGAGCAAAAGCTGGCCTTATAGACAACACAGGTGAGTTGATTGGATTGTCTGGAGCTGGTAAACAAGAGTGGATTGCTGACAAGCTTGTAGCCAACTTGGATGGATTAGCTTGTATGGGGCTAAAAATCCTATTGATCATGGTACCCTCATTGGCATATTCCAAGGCTGGCGAGTTTGGTATGTCTGTTTGCTGGCCATGATTAACTACTTGGTTTTCTGTTTGAGGTACTTCAAAGAGTATTTTTTGGAGGTAAAATCTTGAAGAAGCCTTGGGTCAATCATTGATACCGGTACGTGGTTTTCTTGCTGGCATTCCAAGCCAGGTTTAACTAATGCACTTGATTGTCTTCTAACTGATACTGGAGAAGGTTTTAGTTTCCTTGCAATAGCCTCAGCAACTGAGAACGATGGTGTGAACAGCTCTCTGTAACAACCAAGATTTACTCTGGTGCACACAGGAACACACTATAAGGAATATGATGAGGGAGTGGTTACCCTTTAGAATTCAGAGAGTTAGTTGGTATACAACAGGAGGACTCACTGAGGAGTCTCCTGGATATATTGGAGTTTATATACTACTACAGGGTTGTTTGTACATGTGTACTATACAGTTGATAGAGACAGTGGCTGATGATGTTCTGGGGCCTAGCCTGCATGGCCAGCTCCACTGTGTGAGAGAGTTGTGTCCAAAATAAGAAGAAAGGCAATGCGGCACGAGAAAGGGGAAGTGCCGCGTGGCACCATGTGAAAGCTATAGTACAAGGTTAAAGCGGAGAATAAAAGTAAAGGGAAAGTCCGAAAATTGTGTTATTGTAACACTCTCCATGTTGTCCTATGTTTTCCTGCTGATCCTTTTGTGCTATCTCAGAGGCTTCTGTGTGTGGTCATTTGGCTTGGTCATCTTGATCATGGTCAACTGTTTTCTGCTTGTGCATTGTAATCTTCAATGAGGTCCCCTTTTGACCCAAGTCTTCATCCTCACCATCCTGCTTTCTTGTTCGTGAAGTGTTCATGGTGCCAACGTCTTGTACTTTTTTTGGTCTTCCTTGAGGCATGTGTGCATTGTGAGGTTATCTTACTCTGTGGGAGTGCTGGCAAGCATAGACGAGATGGGAAGCAATGATTATATGCTTGTAGTTAACTGTACATGTAGTAACTTGTAATCTAATCTGTTATTTGCTTATTATTTTGGTATTATTATAATTAAAACTCTAATAATCCTGCAAGGTTTTTTTGACATTATTCTGGTATTATTTGGAATTTTCACGCTATAATCCCTCAGTTTTTTTAGTCTTCAAAGTGCAGTGATATGATATCTTCATTGCCCTTGACCCTGGAGGTCTTTATGATATTGGCTCTTACTTATAAACCCAGCTTGGAGAGGAGCCTAGATTCACTACTTATTTGGTATATAAACCCCTGTATCACAGTAGGATAGGATAAGTTGAATCTACTCTATATTTTCTTGCTATGCTCAGCCCTGTCATCAGAGCAACTACATCTTTGACCCTGATAACAATCCTCAGTTGTAGGGAAGGATCTTTTATCTATAATCCCTGGGAACAATAGGAGATGGGAACAGATGGTGGCAATACCCACAAGAGTTAAATTACGATCATGTTGAATGTAAAGTCCCTATCCCCTATACCAAGTTAACGGAGGGATAAGTTCTCAAGATCAACAAGTAGCGTCAAGTATAGATTAAGAAGTAATCAACAACTGAAGAAAAGTATGTACATGAGTGCTGGTATATATACGTTCTGAAGGTCAGCCATGAGGCGCTGACTGATGTTCTACGTCATAGTCTAGGCTTTATCACGTGATTGTCATGTGATCAGATATAACTATTTACTTTGTTATCCGCGCTTGTAGCAGCAGCTTAACAAGTTTGTCATGTGATCAGATATAAAAGAGAAATGAAAAAGAAACTAGCGCTCTGGCTCAAGTCGTGACATTACCCCCTCTTTAAGACTTTCGTCTCGAAAGTAAGGGTCCATCTTTCCGTTTTCCCAGTTGAACAACTGTTTTCTGATTCTTGTCGTTGTGAAGTTTTCGAAGGGTTGGAAGTGTAGTTGGAATCATATCCGTCGGGGTGCACTAGGGTTGTTATTGTGGAATGTTTTCACTTTGTCTGGTGAGTTGGTTAGGTGTCGTTTGGGTTCCCACGTGCGTTCCTCTTTTGAATAGTTTTTCCAATGTACTAAATATTCCAATTTTCCCTTTTTTAGACGTGAGTCTAGAACTTCTTCGACTTCATACTCTTCTTGTCCATCCACTATCACCGGTGGTATTGCTTTGGGTTTTTGTTGGGAAGGAAGTTGTGGTTCTTTATACGGTGTGAGCTTTATTTCGTTGAAAACTGGATGAATAGGCCGCCATGTCGGTGGTAATACTAGTTTGTAGGCTGATTCGCCTATTTTTTCCAGAATTTCAAATGGACCGTGTCTCTTATTGTCCAGTTTCTTAGCTGGTCGATCCATCGAGATATTGGTCGCTTCTACGTATACTTTATCTCCTACTTTGTATTCCACCGCTTCTCTTTTCTTTTTATCGTACTGCTTTTTCATCTGTTCAGCTGCTTTCCGCAGTGACTCCTCTGCTTTCTTTCTTGTTTCTGTCATTCTTTTTACAAAATCTTCTGCATTTTTGTTTTTCACCTCCACTTTCACTACTTCCTGTGTTCTCGGATGGTGTCCATGATTTAAATAGAATGGGCTGTATCCTGTTGCAGAGTGTTGTTTGTTGTTATATGAGAATTCTGCTAAGGTAAGCCATTCCGCCCAATCATCTTGTTTATGGTTTATGAAGATCCTGAGATACTGCTCTATCTCTTGATTGATCCTCTCTGTTTGTCCATCCGTCTGTGGGTGCCATGCCATTGATGGATTTGCCTTTATCTGAAGAAGCGAGATCTTTCATGAATTTAGAAACAAATTGTGGTCCCCGATCAGAGATGATCTTTTCGGGTATGCCATAGTTTCTGAATACGTGATCTCTAAATAGTCATGCCACTCCTTCTGATGTGATCTCCATTTGTGTGGGAATTACCTTGATCATTTTTGTAAATCGATCTACTACTACCATTATCATGTTATATCCGTTTGATTCTGGTAGTGGTCCGATCAGATCTACTGAGATAATTTGCCACGGTTTATCCGGGATTTCGTTTGGATGGAGTGGTGCCGCTTTCTTTTTGTGGTCTGTTTTGGTTCTTTGGCAGACTTCACATCCATCTACGTATCTCGTGATATCTCTGTCCATATAGGGCCACCAGTATTGTCGAGTGATTAACTCTTTTCTCTTATATCTTCCTGTGTGACCTGCGACGGTAGAGTCGTGGTTTCTTTTGATGATCTCTTCCCTCAACTTGGCATCTTTTGGTACATAGATCCTGCCTTTGAATACTATGTAGCCATCTTCCTCAAACCATCCATCCTCTCTCCTTTCTATCTTTCCTTTCATCTTTGTTATCAAATCATCTATGTTCCCTTTCCTTTTCAAGATCCATTTTGAAATCACCAATTCTTCTTCCTGACTATCTGCTATTGCCTGTCTTTGTTTCGATGAAAGGGTCATTTGTACAAAGAGTTTCTCGTCTAGTAGTATGATGTTCTTGTCATCGTTCTCTCCTTTATTATGATCTGATTGTCTTGAGAGCAGATCTGCCTTTATATGCTTCCTTCCAGGCATATGGTGTATCGTAAAGTGATACTGGCTTAACTTTGTCATCCACCGTGCCTGTCTCCTGTTCAACTTCTTTGGTTCTTTGAAATACAACAGATTTTGATGATCTGTCCATATCTCAAACTCTTCCTCCGCATCTATTAAGTAATGTCTCCATTCATTAAGTGCTGTCATGATGGCAAGAAGTTCCTTGTCATAGATCTCGTAATTGCGTTCTGTGGGATTCAACACTTTGGAGAGATATGTAATTGGCTTCCAGTCATCTTTTTGTCTTTGTGATAAGACCGCACCCATTGCGAAGTCACTACTGTCTGCTTCTACTTTGTATTGGCCATGTGGTACTGGGAGAGCTAACACTGGGGCTGATGCTACGCGTTGTTTCAAGTTGTTAAATGCTTTGCGTTGTTCATTTCCCCAAATGAAGTCCTCTTTTCCCGTTAACTTGGTCAATGGTTTGGCTACTTCCCCGAAGCCCTCTATGAACCTTCTGTAGAAATTTACAAAGCCCAAAAATGCTTGTATGTCTTTCTTGTTTTTGCATTCTGGCCATTTGCTAATTCCTTCTACTTTCACTGGATCCATGCGAATCTTGTTTTCTGAGATGATCAGTCCCAGATATTCCACTTCGGTCTGTTCGAAATCGCATTTCTCCGATTTAAGATAGAGATGGTTTTTTCTAAGGATTTCTAATACACGTCGCGTCGTTGCTCTGTGCATTTCTATATCTTTTGTGAATATCATGATATCATCCAGATATATGATAACTAATCCTTCATCTATCAACTCTCTGAATAATGTGTTCATCATTGTCTGGAACGTGGCAGGGGAGTTTGTCAGTCCAAAGAACATGACTAATAGTTCGAATAACCCCCAATTCGTCCTAAATGCCGCTTTCGGTTCATCTCCCTCTCTCATTTGGATATTGTTATATCCCCATCTTACGTCTAGTTTTGTGAAGTATTTAGCTCCACGCAGCTCGTCTACAAGTTCTCCAATTAGCGGAAGTGGATATCTGTTTTTGATAGTGATATCATTTAACTTCCGATAGTCTTGAACAGGTCTCAGCTTTCCATCTTTCTTTTTTATGAAGAAAAAGGGCGATGCGAATGGGGACTTTGATGGTCTTATCCGTCCCAATTCTAGATTT